CGAGGGATTTTAGTATCGGTAGTATTATATAGTTAAGATTTAAGTAATTTATAAGGTTTATTGTGAAAGGTGGGTAGATGTAGAACTTGTGATTCCATCTACTTGCCTTGGGCCTCCACTCGCAGCAACCTCCTCGTGGTGAGGCCTGGGCAATCGGTATTGTCATCGGTAAAATACTGTAAACTGAAGACAATATCGAGCCAATGGCTGCGAACTTCGAATATATCTCATGAAACTACGTTCTATATTACATCGAATTAGGATTATTTTAGAAATCGATATGAGATTCAAAGTGTAAAAATGTCTAGTACTTTGAATGTTTTAGAAAATTATTCGAGATAAAGATGTATGGAACTACTGAAAATTACTTTAGATTTCTTTTCCTTATTCTGTAAATTCTTTGATTAGAATATGAATGCTGCTGGAAGTATGAACATTTTCACAGGACAATGATATAAATAGAACTTTAACACTTTTTTAAATGTTACAGTGATATTTCGTTGGCCTCCGTATTAGCGCACTGCGCCGAACGCGGATAGCATGATATTGTAGTCGCAAGGGAGCAATTGAATCGAATAGACGTATTGTACCGTAGCGCATCGTATTGTATTTCAAACTTTTATATCATTATAATTTATATGTATATATGTATATTCCAATAAACATACGTCAGGTAATATAAACTTCATTTCATCGAATTGTCTTAAATATAACTGCATATATATTGTACAATATTAGAAAATGTTCATACTTCCAGCAGCATTCAATTCCAATCAAAGAATTTACAGAATAAGGAAAAGGAATCTAAGGTAATCTTCAGTAGTTTCATAAATTTTTATCTTGAATAATTTTCTAAAACATTCAAAATACTAGACACTTTTACACCCCGTGTGGGCACGAAACTGGGGTCATAGAACCCCTGGAACATGCGTGACAGCCTCCGTGTGGTGAGAACGTGGGGTTATAGAACCTCCAGTGGTTGCGCCATAGACCCTGTGTGGTGAGAACGTGGGGTCACAGAACCCCCGTAGGAGGCGCCACTGACCCCGTATGGCGAGGACGTGGGGTCACAGAACCCCCGCAGGAGGCGCCAGGAACCCCGTGTGTATGAGATGTACCCTCACGAGCAAAGTTATTAAGATATCTGACTATTGATTATTATAAAACAGATCAGGAGCAATTTTTTGATACCATAATATTTGTGTGAAAAGGTCATTTACTACCTATTTTGTTAACAACAAATTGTTACTTTTTCTTTTGCGAATATCTCACTAACTATTATCGGTGCTGGGGGAGAAATTTCAGATTCGGAAGGAGCAAATTGGGAGCAACTGTTTGATATATAAATCGTTAAGATACGTTAACATTCGGCGCCAACTATTTTTCGGTCATAAGATGATACATAGGTCTATCCTATACCTAGTCGGTGGTGACACTAAAAGGGTATTGGGGTCCAAAGAATCCACAGAGTCTTATCACGAAGAAGGTATTAGATAGTAGGTTTATTCTTATACCTCGTGTCTAGGGTTACAAGCAGGATATGTAATCTAGCGGAATTGTAATTGGTTAATTTATTTTTAAACATCTTGCAGAAATTACTGAACTCTTTTTAAATAACAATATTTAATAACTTCTTATTTACAATTTATACAATGTCTGATCTCTTTGGTAGTAACTAAGGGAATGTTATAGACAAGAACATTTTGTAGAAAAATTGAATATTTCAAATTATCCGCGAAAATGTATAGAGCGGATACTGCCATCTCGCGAGGAGTGGATAGTACTAAGTGAGTAGTAGTTTGGACGATTTGCCGTTAGATGGCGCGACGAGACATTTCGATCTCATTATTTACATATGAAAAGTTACATATTATTTGACGACGTACAGGCACCGTACTTATGAAGATTAATCGGAACAATCTAACGCCATTAGTAAAATATTTCATTGTGATTTATGCGATTTTCGTGCATCTATTATCCATAATTAAATATTACGAAGTGGGAGAACTGTCAGTTCGTGCGTTCTATCCGTTAGTGATTCATCGACAGTAATTACATCTTCGGTCCACCGATTGCAAAAAAAATTCAGGGAAATATTCATACCTACCTGGTGTGAGACAGAAAACAATCTCGGCCGAAACTTTTGCCAGGCTTTCACTTCATGGTATGTATTATACACACTTGCATCTAACTCATTTCCGGAAGTTGCTGTTATAGAACACGATTACAGAGTAACAAAATGTTCTCTTCTCTCTATCTGAAGGCAACGGCTATTGTAACGACGATTAGTTAAAAACACTTTTGTAGAAAGAAAGCATTATGCGTACAGGACAATAGGGGTGAAATAAATAAAGATAATGAACGCCACACTTACGTACAACGATATTTATACACAGATGTACGCGTGTAAATGTAATTTGATGAATAAACGTACAGCTTGGGTCGTGTTGTCGTCGAACGTAATGCTTAAAGTTAAAAATTACAAATAACGTTGGACATGTGTGCGAAAATCGTAACAACGTGTGTATTTGGGATCTTACGCAGCGGATGTTTATATACATTTTAAGGTACCGGTGCACCGATTCGCGTAAGAAACTACCGTTCGAATTCGAGTATCTGTTATCTGTTATTGGTTCGGAAGGTATATTTTTGCCGGCAAAACTTGATTAACGGTGCGTGTTCGATTGTATTTTTAGTCGTGACAGAAGAGTTCCGCGAAATCCCCCACGTCAAACCGTAATGATTAAGTAGCACCTGTCGATATTAAACGGAACAATACGTGTTGTTGCAACGTACTTAAAAAGCATCATTTTAATCGTTTCTTACGATCGCTGCACCGACCTTGACGCACGAAGATCTAGTATTTACAGAAATGGGGGTACCGTTATACATCGGTACTCTCGATAAAAACAAAGAAAGGAAAAGAATATCAGAAAATTTACAAAAAAAAAAAAAACACGCTCGAAACGAAGTCTGGTCACGATAGACTTTGATCTATCGATCGTTCCACTCGATTCGTTCGCCTTGATCGAGAAAGCTCGATCTATTAATCGGTCTATGCGAGAGCACATACGAACGAATCTCGTTTCGTTCGATACTCATTATCGGTGCTCGATAAAGGATCTCTTACGAGCTACAGGTTAACAGACCACATTAACAGAAGAAAAAAAATCACGTAATTCGTCTTCGGTTCGGTCGAGTTACAACTCGTAACACCACGTCGTACACGAGTAACAATTTCCACGCGAAAAAAAAACAAAACAATCTTCGGTAGATTTATGCTTTTGAAATCGTCCATGGAAAAAAAAAAATCTTTCCCGGATAATTTATTGCGCGACCGTCGTGTCGCGGCGTCACACAGTTTCGAGCGGAATGTTTCGAGCAAAGCACAACCCATCTTTGTCGTATTTGAAATGGAAAATAGTATATGTTTCTGGTTACGAAAGAGCTTGACGATCGTATCGATCCTAATTATCCCAGACAATAGAACGGAGCCGTATAAAACGTGTACGTAGAGCATCCAACGATATATACGTACGAAGAAATCGCGATTTTAACCGTGGGATGGCTTCGAGTACGTAACACCAACGTGTCGAAGTTTCCAGGAATGCTGTACGTGTGTATCAATATTCGCGATACGTTTCCCCCACGAAAGGTGGCGCGTGTAGTCGCGACATATCGATCGTTGTCTGGTACTAAATGCAATCTATCGACCACACACGCGTACAACAGCCGACCGAAGAAACACGCGTGTGATTGGAATGTACATTACGAAAAAGAAATCGGGGTTGTTCGAAATTCGATGACGTAATATGGTACTTGAAAATACCCACAAAAGATCACACAACGAGTCGGATCCTGTTTCGACACGCAACTGGTATTGCAACTACTACACGACAACAAAGTAGTAAATTCCCTCGTTACGCTTCCGCGTTTTTGACCCCGTGAGGTATGTATTTCCAGTTTATATCCCGAAGCCGAATGAATGAGATCGCGAGAGGGAAATGCACTTAGATAGGTTACGTACCCGTACGTGTGCGACGTGTGTGACGTATGAAACAAACAAAATGAAAACAACTGGTCTCCGAGTGTTCTCGCGCTAGGTAGGAAACAGCACGACGCAAAAAGGATCACGACGACGATAATTGAATGTTGCACAACAGGTTGTCGTAATATTTAGCAATGTCGCGTCTTGAGATGGTAACCCAACAATTTTTTTTTTCAACGAGTCCTGTGCGACTCCGCTGTGAGGCTGAACGTGGAAACTCGCGCCAGTCTTCCCACTATTGTGTTCCTACCACACGAGAGGTGTTACATCTCCTAAATTACATAATTCGTTCAGATCATGGTAAACCGTATCGTGGTTGAGAGTAGCGTATACGCTGAAAAATTCCGTATCCTCGAATGAGACTGGGCCACAAGAAACGCTCGAACCCTATTTCGCCGATTTCAGAGAGTACGTACCTCGCATTTGTGCAATTTACGGTTCCATACGGGAACGACGACGACGTGTGTCCTGAATTTGATAAGAGATAACAGAAATTAGCGATGACGCGTGCGCCACAGCACGTCGCCGCGGCAAAACGTTACACTTTCTCCCCTCGCGACGTCGTAGCAGCAAGCACGCGCGCGATCGTCCTTGGATCGCGCAAACTCCATTCTTGTGGCTAGCGGGACAACTGTTGCTCACTGGAACGAGAAACTTCCAACGTTCGATATCGACTCCGCGGAAACGTATTCAAACGTGTGCATACGTACACACGCTTTCGAATAAGTACCCGACGCGTAGATGGTTTCTTAGCGTCTCTTCTTTGTTGTATGTACACTCGCGAGTAAACTCGTCTTCCGCTAGGGGAAAAAGCGGCGTAGAAGAAAAGCCTTCTACCACTTGGTAAATTTATTCCAGGTAATGAAATAACTGTTAAAATGCATGGTAATTTAGCATAAATTTCAGAAACTTCCAAATTCAAATGGTAGAAGGCTTTTTCCCCTAATGGAAGCCGAGATTGCTCGTGAGTGTACAGGTTATATAGAGAAAAACCTGTGGTATATTTCCAGAATTCTGGAAGTTTCTCAAGACTCCATAGAGACATAAGATATCGACCAAGTCGTCCCTCCCCTTGTTTCGAGTGTACACTAACCCGAGGACACCGTCAGGGAGCGTGTAAAAAAACGGATTTCTACTACGGGTAATTATATCGAGGAACAGAATTGAGCACCGCGAGCAGAGCATAGCCAACAAGAGACTGTCGAAAGAAAGAAAAAAACCGAAAATGGATATACACACACACACACATCGGTTATAACTTTTGCACGATATCGAACTTGTCCTTGAACCCGATCGATTCCTTCTTTGGGTCGTACTTTTTGCGCGCCGCCAACTGAGCCCTAAGCTCTTTGGCGCTCATCTTCAGATTCAGTCCCTGTTGCCGCGGCTGCTCGTTGTTACCTCCGACGCTACCGTTCCCGGTCCCGTGCACGTGACCACCAATCGTCGGCCCGTCGTTCCTGATCCCATTCCCATTCTCTCGGCCGGCGGACTGTTCGCTTTCGTTCTCGCTCCTCGTCGACATTCTTGTCACCCCTGCGGATAATGTGCTGCTGCTCTCGCTGTGCTGCGACATGTCGTTCGTCTTCTGCCCGTTCTGAAACCAAAAACCACCTAATCTTTAATTCCTTGTCTAGTCTACACACAGTGGTTTAGCCGCCAGTATTAGCATTACCCGATGTACACCACGAGTAGTTTCAAAGTAAACTTTGAAAATTAATAACTCAACAACTGCTTACAGAAAATACACGTGTATGTAGCGTTTTGAATGTGTCTCAACGTAGGCTAAAAGTATGTGCAATAAAAAATATAGGGTTTCTTTTAAATATTTGAATGTGACCTTCACAGGACTCACCAGCAATATCGGAAGGTCAAATAATTATCACCACGATATGTCCCTCATGATATCACACAACTTTCATCTGAAATATTTTTTCGTATTTTTCCTATTAACAGAAATAATCGCATGAATACGCTTAAAAGGAACATACTGTATGTACGTACTTTTATGGAACACAATCTAATAAACTCTGGGTTCTCATTCGGAGAGGCTTTTAGCAGACACCTAGTTTCACCGATTCTTCGTATAATCGCCGAACACACAGATACCGTCTTGGTCAGTTAGAAAGGGATACGAGAGCGATATAAAACACTCGCGTCACGTATCAAGGTTGATCGCGCGCGCTACTTTTTTCCGTAACATGCGCTTCAACCGACTCGAAATCGCGACCGCATGTCCGAAGGAAAATTCCCATGATTCCAAAGCCTCCTTGCCGCTCTGCGACGCCTCCCTTTTCGGAACACGGTGGATGTAAACGGGCACATGATGTGGATGTAAACGGGCACATGATGTGGATGTAAACGCCACACGATGTAGATGTAAACGGGCTGCAAATGAATTAATTTTTGAGCATTTTTTGTGAAGAACTTATTAAACCAATCTCTTTAGAAGCTTGAGAATCCTTTATTGTACAATTAAACTGAATACAGAAACTTTTATGTTCACGACAAATCCATAAATATTATAGTTATAAGGACTTACGTGCAGCCTGTGAGCAAAAAAAAGTGTTCCACGTCGGTGAATGTAACTGAAAAAATATTCAACCAACAGACCTGGAATTGCATGTACATATTCTTAACATTTTCTTGACAGCATGAATCTACATTTATAATTTTATTCTTTCAATAAAGCATATTTTTCAGCAATTTACTTGAAACAAGGTCCCTTTTTTTTAAATATCATTTTTTCAATTTTTTGGCTTCAAAATAGGTTCATGCTGTGAAAAAGATGTTAAAGAATATGTACATGCTGGACCAGTTCGTTGAATATTATTTTAGTTACATACCCCGGTGTGAACACCTGTTTTGCTCACGGGCTGCACAAAGTCATTATAACTATAATATTTATGGATTTGTCATGAAAATAAAAATTTTTGTATTGAGTTTAATTATACGATAAAGTATTCTTAAAGTTTCAGAGAAATTGGTTTATTACTTTCTTCACAAGAAATTCCCAAAGATTAATTCATTATTAGCTGTTTACACCAGGCACCTTATCTCAGTCGATAACTAGAGCGTCTATCAAAGAGACAAGATTATCCCCGAATATCGATCGGTCCGCTAGAAATTTCTGACCGACGGAACACAAAACAAGATGGGCCAATTTTCGACGTGGCGCGTTCGAGCGAGACATTCCTAATTTTTTTCGTTGCGCAACCAACACACCGAGAGTATATTTCGTCTTAACGCGCTCGCAAATGGAAAGTAAAAGCGTGGACGTGGTAATTAGTAGACGTTACGTCTCGCGTTGTTCCCTGCCCGTTGGTGACAAACAGACTCGGTTCGTGTTATTAACACCTAGCCAGGCGGTGAAACTTAAAGGAGGGAAAAAAATTGTGAAATTCTGTTAACAACTGGAATTGATCAACCTTGTTAAATGTATTCAGCCAACTGTAATGACAACACAGTACGGATGAAAAAGTTGTGTCTGTCCGACAGAAACTCATAAACGACCTTGGGTCCTGATGCAATATTCCGAACGGTACTTAAAAGAATTCCATCGAATAGAGGCAAGCTCGAGGGAAAACCGGTTTCGAGCGGTGGCAGACCGTTTAAATCTCTTCGAAATAATGTTAGTCGGCTGTCCTTCTTGGCGTACGATTCGATCCCCCCCCCCTCCCGCTACTCTGGAATTGGAAAACTCATTCTCTTCCACCCTGTGGTCTCTTCCATTCGCGATTAGAAACGCAATGTAAAGTTGTCCATACTTGTGTCGGATCGCATAGAAAATGAAAATGCGATCAGGAGGGCCGAGGGAACGAAGCGCGACGCACGAACACGTGTGTATGTGTGTGTATGTGTGTGCACACACAGCTTAACAGCACCGTCGTCGATAAACGCTCGCAGCGGACGGCCGAGAGAAGCGATAGCCTCTGTGTACGCAAAGACGGTGTTTACGCGTCAGCAGGACGATGCATGGCCTCTCTATAAAATGTCCAGAATCTGTGTCACGGCACTGCAGCACCTGTCACTGGCAGGTATCCCCGCAATTCAATTATTTTCCAGTTGCGACGTTGGACGACGGGGTTTCAAGCAGTACGAATCGATACTTGTTTCGGAAATCGTGGAAAAAAAAACACTGGATCGAAATTCAAACGAACGACACAACATACTGACCCGCAAAATCCATTTAATTATATTCCGAAACTGAGAACGCGATGCAGTGGGGTCGGGCCCCGATTCTTTCCAGGGGGCGGAGGGGGAATCCCCCGTTATCTGCATATGTATTCAGACGTGAACACACACGACTCGATTTTTTTTCCTTATGGCACGGTTTCTTCGAAAAATTGCTTCGGCCCCCGAGGGGGCAAACACAGAAATCGAATAAGAGCGGATAACGGATTTTTCAGGCTAGTCGTTTACCAGGCGGCGGAATTTTACCGGGATTACAACGAGTGGCCATCGTTAACCTTCCCAATAAGTCACAAGCGAAATGCCTCCGGGAAAGATGAACCTAACCTAACCACCACCAATTAGACAGTTTCTTCTCCGTGGTCCCTTTCGAATTCAAAGCGAAAGTCTCTCTCGGAACACCGAAAGTTTGACCCGTTCGTTTTCTAAAAACTATTTGGTCGAATGAAATTCTTGGAATCGCAGGATAACGACGTTACGAACGGCCTGTATCATTATTGAAAAATCACGAATGATCGCGTATGGTCGTTCTTGTTGCCGCCACGAACGAGACGCGATTTTCCCTCTCGTTCTTTGCTGCCGCCAGGGGGATTCGTGCATACCGAGCGAACCAGCGTAGTTGATAGATTGCGCAATAGAAAACGGCGGCCGGAAATTGACTATCCTGTAGAGAGGCGACTAATTATTTACCGGTACGCGTGATCGACTGCCCCACCACGGGGACATGCACAATTTTCCATGTAATGACAAACATTCGTATCGACTTATTCAATTAACGTTTGGGTAACCGATCTCGAGGGAGATGTGTATGTGTGTGTGCGCTGTGTCCATTGCACGGAGCATCGCCCAACGACCGAACGAAAGAAATAGACTCTGAGGTTGCGTTCACATTTCAATTTCACTCCGCGTTCCTCAGAATGCCGTAGGATTTAACACTTGTGTATCGATATTTCGAATATCGATACTTTTCGATACAAATATCGATATCTTCGAAAATCTATGGTTGTTCGCCCCCCTCCGATGAAGTTGAAATGTTAAGAGATGCATTTCTTGCAAACAAATTCCTAATTCTTCGATTCGAGCCAGTTTCCACCCCAAAGCACTGCGTGCAGCACCGTATCTACGTAACACGAGTCGTCTTCGATCACGTGTCGGCGCGGAAGGACAACACGAAAAAAATTTACGTAATTTGCAGCGGTAAAAAAAAAAAAAGAAGAAAAAAATCGCCGGAAATCCGGCGAACCGTATCGACGGAGGACGAATCAAGACGATCGAACGCGGATCCCGTGAAACGTGAATTAAGGCCAGTGACGCGCGTGTTCTGTAAAGGAGGAACTTCCGGCGATTAACGCCGTAATTGTTACATCCCGAGAATGCTTCACGGTGATACATAGTCGAACGGGGGGAACGCGAACGTCGTTTCACCTGATAACCGAACGAGTGAGGTTAAAATGGGTGGTTCCGCGTTCCAAGTGTGTATGTAAATAACTCTGCAGAAACAGCCAGGCCTGGATTTAGATTTTTAGGGCCCGGGGCTATCGAACCTTCTAGGGCCCCCTTGGTTGACAGGGTGGGGGGAGTAAAAAACGTTTGTAATAAAAAAGACAATAAAATACATAAAACTAACAAATTAAAAATTTATTCCAGATAAAATTAAATAAAACTAAATGACATTTAATCGCAACGAAATGCAGGGCTTAGAAGGGCCTCCCCTAGAAAGTGGGGCCCAGGGTTTGAGTCTCCCTTGATACGGAGCTGGGGACAGCCACAATCGCGCGCGATGTTGTTGAATTTTTTCAGAGAAACAGACTTCAGTGTCACTCCTGTACGTGTTTTATCGTTTTTTTACCAGCGAACTATGTGAGTCATCCAGAGATCTCTCGAGCGCTCAACTTCGACGAACTATGTGTATATACCTAATCCACGTCAGAATTCCTAAACAGGAAAATTGGTTTTTCTAATAACTCATGGTTCTCCCGAAGGAGAAAAAACGATCGTCCTTGACGAGGCGAGGGACACTTGCACGACGGTTTGGAGAACCTTCGGAACATGTTCACAAGCATTTGACACTACGCTTCGCATCGAGCCGAGATTCCTCGTGAACCGTGACGCAGATTGAACGTGGAACGCACGATCGAAACACGCTCGGTGAAGTATTGAATTTCATGCTGCCTCGCTATAGGGTAACATTGGAGGGAAATATAACGGGGCCCCGAAACATGTATGGTGTTGGTCAGAATTTTATTCGAATAATATTACAGTGACAAATAACGCTATCGAGGATTGTTAATTGTTTAAATAATTGTTTGCCATTTGTCTACTCATTCAAGAATTGAAAAAATAATTAAAAAATAGGGCAAAAATAATAAGGTATGGAATTGTTGTATTATAAAAATTGGAATTTCCACGTTTAAGCGACTAAAAATAGCGAAATACTTTTTTTATCTTTTATTCATTAGTCGAAGTTCTTCATCTAGATAATAATGAATTTGCCCATCTTTACTCCGAAATACGTAATACGGCACTACTGTAGATGAGGTGGATTTGTACAAAAATATACAGTACATCATCGATGAGTGCTCGAAGGCGCTTGACTAATTCCACGGGTCCCCCGTCCTGTCCGTGGTGGATATGACGTTTGAATACTCAATACCGAGTAGTTTTCGAACACTCATTGATGATTTACTGTATATCAAAAGTAGTGCGATCAATACGAAGTCGATTACGTATCGATGGGAAGATCGTTTTGAATGACAAAGTCAATACGTTATCGGGTAAAAATAAAAATGAACTAAATTGAGAATTTAAGCATTAAATAGTGAATTTCCGACCGTTTTAAAGTAAAATTACGCAACACAAAAGTTGAAAAACAGTTTACGTCACTAGAATAGTAATAATTGGAATAGTAATAATTGTGATAACGGTGACACTGATTGCAGATATCGTCCACTTTTTCAAATCGGAAAGTACTATTTAATTATAAATTAACTCATGGTATTTAGAACTTTACTTCGGTGAATCAGATAAGATTCATAACAAGTGGAACATACAATTTATTGCCACGATAAGATACGAAACCAAAACAGCTAAGTACACCGTCCAAAGGGGTAAGTAAAAATTTCTTTGGAAGTAAAACAGAACGAACGAAACTAACAATAAGAGGCTCGTTGGAACCGGCATTTGCGGAGGCTGCGATAATGATATCAGTCCCTGTAAGTTTATCGTGGCCCGTTGGTGTGTCTCGCCGGAACGAAACAAGTGTACACACGATTATTATTATCGTGACAAAAATGTTTTTTTTTCTCCGTCAGGTCGTAAAACTGTAACGCAAATCGTTTTATACCGTCACCGTCCAAAAGATTCGACGACGACGCATCACGCGTATGTATAGTCTATTTTTACATACGGGGCGCAATTGCGCGCGGACCTCTACGTCTGCGTAGTCCAACCTAAAAAAAACACAACTTTTGGAATATCTTCTACTACGCGTTTGTAATTAATTTTAGATCGCAGAATCGAATAAATCGTGCAAGGAACTATAATACGATGAAGATTAGACGAAAGTGTAATGGTTCGACGCGTTGTTAAGGAGCTATGCTGGTGTGACGGTTTCAGAAAATCGGATTTTTCTTTTTTGCAATTTGCACCAAGTTTTTGAGGAAAAGGAAGATGATTTATATGGCTTGAAATAGGTGATTAACTGTAAGTATGAAACATTTCTCTTTTTATGCTCTAAAACAGTACTTAAAACTTTGATCGCGTTTTTCTCGCAGCTACTTTTTCTTAATCGGCGGCCATGATAACTTAAAAACTACTTGACCGATTTAGTTCAAACTTGGCATGCCTGTTCATCAGATGTGTCATTCTAGCCCGTACCTCGAGTTTTTCGATATATTGAAAATTACAAATTTGCTGGTTAAAAAACCAGCTATTTTTATTCAAATAAATTAAACCTTCTGTTTGGGAAGGCGTCGTTTTTTATTTCTCAAATTTTTTAAATTATTCTGGTACGGGTTATAGCCACACATACAAATTAAGAAAATATTTGTTTTTTTTTTATTTCACACAACCATAAGAGTCTATACTATGGCCGCCATGGAAAGGACATTTCGTTAAGACGCTCTCACAAACGAACTGTACCTTTTAAAAAATACATCGTTTTTACTTTATAAAAATATAGCATACTTTACAAATATTATTTAGTAAATACGTATATTATTCAAATTGATAACTTCAATAGTTTTCCTTTAAAAAATTCCCAAAAATTGCCTTATTATATAGCCGTCAGACTAGCATAGCTCCTTAATTTCCGACAGAATTTGCCTACCCGTCGAGCTAAACAGGATCCTCCCGTAGCTTCTTCGATAGCCTTCTCATGGCTGTCGACGGTTCGTGTTTCGTGCGAAGTCATCGAACAAGAACCGCCGCTCGATACAAATGAGCTTTCTCGGGGCCTAGCGAAAGAATGTTTTTTTTTTGCGTACACACGTTATTCGAATAACGCCGCATCTCACGCAATTCTACGGAGCCTTTACCGTCTGGAACGACCGAGAGATAGAAGAAAAAATCCAAACTCTCCGTTTCCACTTATTTTGTTCAGGCGTTCTTTCGCGTGCGATGAGGCCGGCCTGTTCCACGTATGGTGCGCCAACATTTTTTTTTTCCTTCTCCTGGATTCGTTCTTACCGCGGCCAACCGGGGTAAACACAGATGTTCCCAAGAAAAAGATAGAGAGAGACAGCGAGGCATGGTTGAAAGACTTGCACGCTTATCGCTAAATAACGTGAAAAAACCGACTACCGTCACACTATTCCCTTCTCGAAAAATCATGATCGCTGACGACGTTAAGACGATAAGGCTAATCACAAGTGGACAAGATTACGCGAAACGCATTTATGCAATCCGAATATCTACATCGATACATGAATTACGATGTGTGTGGTATGCAAGTTTCGAGGAACTTGCACCAGGCACAGCATGGAAGAAAAACGAGGCAAATTGCTGCTCGTTGTGCAAGAAGAAATCACAATGTATCGAAATAAATCGTGTGACTCACGATCCTAAGGATATTATCGAAGCGAAAAAGAATACACGCAGGGTTCTTCGAAACATTGTAGAATTTTATACAGATCAAGAAATAACGATCTTAGAGTGCATTGAAATACATTTCCTTTCTAATATATAACACTATGCGAATAATTTACTGAAACGCGTTTGAAAGTGAAAAACCGCTACGCATGTGTGGATAAGCTGGCGTCGTCGAGTATACATATGCGTATCCGTTACGGACCGAACGAAGCAACAGGTGGACACACACGTACACACACACTCTCGATTATTCAAATGGGATCGATGTTTTTAATAATTGGGATCACGATCCTACGTTAATAATTTCGATACCGTGGAATTTTACATGTTTCGTCTGTATCGTGACACCACGTACCTCGTCGGTGGACGCATTGCTGCCGTTGAGCTCCTCCTCCTCGTCCTGCTCGACACTGTTCGGATTCTTCTCCGGGGTCTTGATCACCTTGACGTTCGCCATGGTGCCCTTGATAACGATGTTGTTGGCCCTGAAATATTCATCCGCCTCTTGGTCAACAACCAGTAGCTTCGTCTCATTCGGGAACGCCTTTATACGTTCGACCACCTGCTTGTGGGTCTCGTTCGCGATGTTGATCTCGTTAACCTCCACGATCCGATCACCCTGACGAAGACCGGCCGCCTGGCTCGGCGATCCGTCGTCCACTTTGCCGATGAACTGCCCGTTCTTTCCTTTCTCCGCGTGTAAATTGAATCCGTAACCGTCGAAGTCGTCCCATTTCACGATATGGCAAAACCGTGCGAAACACGGCGCCGTTTTATCACCCTTCAACGAAGACGACGACATGCCTTTGGCCCCTCCTCTATCGTCAGTGTGGATAGTGCGGTCGCGGGGAACCGAACGAAAACTGTGGCGAACCGCGAGAAGAGATGCCGGGATACAGGAGGACACACGGGCGCCTTGCTAGCTAGCTGGCGCTGGCCTAACCGAATGAAAACGAAGAAAAGATAATACACGGCGGGGCGGATGCGTGTACACGAGAAAGCTCGCCTCCGCTCGCGCACGCACACGCTTTGGTGTGTTCCGTCGCGGGCGCGCACTACAGACAGACGATATGATCGGTGGTAACAACCGTGAATAGCAGAGGTCCCTGTGAAGGATCTCTCTCTCTCTCTCTCTTTCTCGACGAACCAAGCGCGGCCTTTACGATTCGTCCGTGTCCCTCATACGACGGACGGACTCTGGCTGCTGTGAGACTGGCTGACTAGGCGACTGGCACGGGCCCCCGCCGATTTTCGTCTCTTCACCTGCCACGAGGCGATTATTCGAACCGACTGGCGGTACGCACCGTCATGAATCGCGTCGTGGATCGGTGAACACGACGCGCCGAGCATGGGGAATTGGAGAAACTTAAAGGTTGGTTCACGCGTACGCGCACGGCGCACCGAGACGTCACGTGCACCAATGGCCGCGACCGAACACGCGCCCACCATCGGTTCCAAGTCCTCTCACAGGATATCCACGGATCTCTACAGGTACCGGGGGCTCGATCTCGAAACCGATACGTTCTTGGACACCTGCGGCCTGCGATACACTGTTGTTGACTTCGTTGAAGAGCAGACAAACGGTGAAGGGAAGAGATTGAAGCGAAGGAAAAGGGTAATTGGGATAATTAAGGGAACTACGAAACACTGATTCTGACAATTTAGTGGAGACGAATCCGATGCTGCTGATGTACTTGTCTAATCGAGGAGTTGTAAATGACTGGTGTGCGTTTGAAACCGGGATATGGAAGTAAACGATAAGAAATTGGGTTGCGTTCTTACACGTTTGTGCCAGGAGTTATCTGTGTTCGACTGTTTTTTTTTCGAATCTAGATATCTGATTACGGAAACACTCGTAATCAGGTATTCGCAAAACGCGTAAGAATCGAGGGATTCATTGTAGCCCTCTAGTGGTACGACCGCAAAGTATCATCGCATGGTGATCATTTGAGCTCCACCTGTCGACGATTCCAAGAAATCGGGGTAAATGTTTGATCGCGATTTGTTCCAAGGAAAGACACGTATTTTGAGTTGTACTTTGTACTCTTACGATACGACATAGAAATATCATTGTAGTAACCCAAACACCATTACCTGCCACGTACTTGTTTCACAGAATGAGACGCAAGCTGGACACCTGTTGCACACCGCGTATTTCACGAATCGCGCATTCGTTGACGCACATGGAGAGATTCAAATGCCTCGATCGTATCGTTTCTGGCAGGGATTATTAACCGTATAAGCACTTAAAACACTGATTATCGGGGATTGAGGAAAAATAACAAGATTTTAATACGCGCGCGGGAGCTATGTAAATATGGGTATTTCAACGTATAGGGGCACAGAATTTATGTAGGACAGCATATACACACCGCCTTTACTGCGCGTAAAAAGCCACTTTGCAGTAAATTTTCGAACTAAGATACGTTATCGTAGTGGCAGCGATAACCTGTTTCGCATTTAAAGAGATGGAAATTCGATGGTTCGATGCAACGTTTCGAGAATAGTGTAAATTCCTGGCATCGAGCCTCGTTACAATATTATTTCCAAATGCAATACACGTCTCGTGGAAGTAATGATACATAAGAGGAAAAGTTTATTATTATGTTATTGTATTTCAGGCCTTTGGTCGATTACAATTAAGCGGTTATGTTCTCATATCTAGCTTTGGTATACTTTAGGTCCCAGATAAGACATGACGCCTTGAAGACGCCTGTTTTACGGCTATTTCAGGTCTAAGGCGCCTTTAAGCCGCCTTTAAGGCGTCACTGGGCGTACTTTTCCATAAGGGGAAAAATATTGCCAAAACTTTCGTTTGGCCATATATTGCTCCATATAAAGATCAACACGAACGCAACTATACGGGATCCACGTCGAATGGACAATTAAAATTCGATGGAAGTGTAGATATTTTATAATGTGGACATGCGACGTTATCAAACAATCGTCGTATGTCATATCGACAAACAAGAGCGTCTATCCTCGATAAGGAAAGGTAAAATTGTCTGATATCATAATAATGATAAATCTATAATAAAGCAACGAGTCATCGACGGCGTTAATCAGATATCCGCGGAATGACGTGTCTTTCCGTCTTGGAAAGCTATTTCTTGTAAAAGATAAACACTCTGTCGCCTAGTTATTGCATATCATATGGATGAACTTTAAGAAACATTTTCTATACGTATGAAGACATTGCTGTAGTGATTCGCAGCGAGTACGTATGACTTTACTTATCATTTGTACATCAGCATTCGATTATTACGAAATCGTACGAATACCAATGCCTCCATTATTGCAAATCATTTATTCAGTTATGCAGCTAGCTATTTGACTACATCTACTCGCTTGACAATACAACGTCACGTTGGATACTGAAAATCACTGTTAGATTTTTTTTTTATGAACCCTCCTAATGCCAAGCTTTTTTTTTATTACATGGACTACCAGGGGGGGGGCGGGGTACTTTACGCCCACTGCATAAAAACTTACAATGTCTTACAAAAATTTTGTGTTTTGTATGTATCTATGAATAAAGAGTGTAAAATATTTTATTAACATTTTTTAAAGGCGAATTTAGACTTTACACTTTGGATGTGTAACATGGATCATTCATCCATACTGAAAGGTGTAACGATTATTTTCATCTGCATTTCATCCAAAGTGACTAATAAACAAAGTGGAGCCAGTCCCTATTTTTGATGAATCGAACGAATTGTGGATGAATCATCCGCGATCCACAATTCAAAATGTAAAAGTGTAAATTCACCTTAATTGTCCTCGGAGTTGGAGCAATTCGTTCGAGGATCACGAGAATATCAATGTATCTTTCTGAATGACCTCTGTCGTCCTAGATGCATTCGAGTGGCGCGCAAGAGACAGGGCATCTGACCTAGGGCGACAAATGGGGCCGAATGGGGCAGAGAAAGTTATCGAAAACGATCAAGGATATTTCACCAAGCCTTTAGGATATTCTCCGGAAACTCGACAGAAAATAGTTATTTTCAGTGTCTATCCTTTATTTGTATCTTTCCAATGTAAACAAACCAATACCTCCATTCCTAACCCACTTTACAGAACCGACAATTGATTCTGTTATGTCCTTGCTCCACTGACTAATTACCCGCAGAGAACTATATACGTTTTAATTGGAACACAAGAACGCGTAAGATGATCAGGGGCTTATTTCTGTCAACGTTTTTCGGTACACCTAATACGTGAGTTACTATACAAACATTATCGTGCAATATTTGTCTTGTGTTAATGTTAAAAAAATTTTTCCTTTGAATTATTACCAATTGTCTAAGCAAACTGAAATGGTAACAATCATCGAGTACCTACTGTTTGTACAGGTATTAGCTGCGCACAATTCTACGCGTTTGTGTACACATTCTATCGTCGAATTCATGCTTGTGCATTCTCGTATCTTACCGATGACGAATCACAATGATTATACCGCGCATCGATGCATCGTTTCCCGTTTATATTCTTCGTAAATTTCATATACCTCGACTAAATTATTCACGTTGCGTATCATCCTCGGAGAGTCTAGGCGGAATAATTTTCATTTAACTCGAAACGAACAGAGAGGTCGTGTTGTAATTGTCATCGAAGGTTTCACGAGTTCTAGGCAACGGAAATAGCGCTTTATCGTAACTACGCATTTCAAATTTAATGAATTTACATCCACGCGTCTTCAATTCTACCCAAAAGTTTTGGATTAGGCGCATATACGCCATTAACGACACTATTCTAAATTCTTTCGCGCGATATTCCGAAAAAACCCAAACGTCTACCGTGGAGAAAAGAAAAACCAAATTCTTGTATTTCTTTCAAAATATGAGTGAACCATATTTCTGTGTATACAATGTTTTTAATTACACCATTAACATTACAATTATTTTAACTCACACGTTAATACTAGAACTACCGGCGATAAACGCATATTTGCTTCGATTGCTGGATAAACGTGGAAAACTTTTGAAAATTTAGAAATTTAGAAATTGACTAATTTCTTCACACTCATATGAGAAAATGTATTTTGACCAGTTATTTTGACTGGTTTGGTAGTTCGAGTGTTAATTCACTGCGTTGTGAACTTCGTTGTTGCAAACCACGATCTTTGGCACAGGGCCAACGGGACGCGTCGTACGTTCCTAAAACCGTAAGCGTGTGGTGGATGCGCGAGACTCGATGCGCCGTAGTCACCGTAATGGTGCGCGGTGCGCGAGGCGGACGTAGCGGTTGTTCGAACAGCAGCGAGGTATAGTTGGTCGTGTTTGATACATTGCGCTCGACCGGAGTATTTTCGTCGTCGGTGTGGCTCGTTTTTCGTGACGCGTAGAACAGTGAAAACCGTGACATGTAATGCCAGTGACCGTTACTACGACACCCAACGTTACGTAGATCGCGGTTCGTCGTAGGAGAACGACATACAACAGATGAATATTCGTAACCGCATACCCGTGACCTAATCGACTAAAATGTGGAGCCCGACACACGTCCAAGTGACAGGTAAGCCTGAATGAGTGAACGGTGAACAGTCAAGTATATAACGTGAACGCCACAAAACCAGACAGAAATGTTGCTTTGCCGCGGCAGGTGGTTCGAAGCAGATGTACCGTAAACTAATTACTGGGGGGATTCGCGGTGTAAGCTAGGTTACGTATCCCTTGTCGAATGTAGGTGATCGAAGCCCTGGAAGCTCGTTACACACGCAGTCAGAGAAGGTATTCTAACGAAAGAAATGCCGTTATCGATAAGTCTGCCCTATCCCCTCGTCTAATCACCTGATGATTTTTACGTTTGTTTTTATGTCATCGGGCGACGGTTGCGTACACACACACATACACTCGAACGACCTCGATCGTCGCGAGCGTTCTTCGTGGAGCGGTCGATGAACACACGCGGTTTCGATTATTTATCGTGAGGTAACGTTTGCCGCTTCGAGGATTGTGAAAAAGCTACGATCGAAGGAGTTCTCGATATATCGCGTCTGATGCGCAGCCTCCCGTAACGCGATAGACAGCGTGGATTGGGAAGAGGCGGTGAAAACTCGAGCGAATACATTCGAACCATGGAGAACATGTACAGTTGAATCGAGAGGCGAGAAGATTGCAATCTGACTATTTGCGTGCGCGTATTTTGGATCGCGTGCATGCATTAAAACGTGTGCGACGCAGCACTCGTCTGCGTTCCTGAAGCAACAGCTTGAAAGATGTAAATATTCCCTTGCGTCTGCGACAGAAGAGTCACGAGACTGACACACACCGGGTTACACGTTTTGCGACGTCTCCGAGACGCGCCAAGGAGGACAGAAGAGTGTATTTAAAACCGCGCGCGTTAATACACGCCCCAGATACCCCCAGATGACTCAACCGATGAAAATTGGTTTGCGTGCTTTTTTTTTTGTTCACCGGATAGAATGTGACCTATGATTACGTATGACGAATACTATTGGATGAACAGAGTGTCCTTACAGTAAAGAAATTCTAACCGTGAAATTTTTTGTACGTTGTTATTCCGCTTTTTCCTAATTACTCTCGCCGTTAATTAGAGCCCGCGACGAGTTCACATGTCGGTTGACAAGTTCTCAACGCTTTCGTGTCTATGCAAAATAGGTAAAGCGTGAAAGCATGTGTAGAAGCAGCTGACTGATGTGTCCCCCTTTTCGTTCCCTGTGTGTTCCTCTCGTGCCCTCTGTTCAGGATCGTAGCTATGTCCTTCAGCTCCCGTCAATTACATCGTAATTTTTATTTTATTCTATTTTTGTAACTACTTTATTGGACCATAGTGGTAATACGATTCGAATGTATAAGTACTAAAATAAGTTAAACACGTAACATTACGGCAGTTAGATAAGGTTTAACAATAGTTATTTTGCAATGTAAAGTATCGTTTTAAACCAGTTTTCACTTCACTCGTGTCAATTTACAAGGAATTTTCGTACATGTTTCTGCTTTTTTGCTACGGAAATATTTTATTCTGCCAATCATATTTTGTTTTATTTGCAGGGAAAAATGATTCCGAAAAACGTTTTCCATTACATTGTTGGTTTATCTGTATGTACATATCCGGGCTTCACGTCCTTCGTAGAAAATTTTAAATTATAGACACGCGTTATGCCTGAAAAATTGTTCCGACATAATCAGCACGGTAGCTGCAATCCCGAACCGTTAAGAATGTTCCTTTCAGAGGAAACGGTATTTGGATGCAGCCGAGGCATGTGCTTCGCAGCTCGCTGATCGGAGTCGTGGAAGAATGCTGCGAGAGAGTCGATTTTCCCAGCCAACTAACCTTTGTGCGGCGAGAAATCGGAGGAAAAAAACCGCCTCATACATGTTACATATACAATTGTATATTCCGAGAACAGCACGTGGTGATACGATTCTAAAATCTTTGTTCCGCCCCGAAAGCTGTTTTACCGATAATTCCGGGGCTGATTCGCCTCGTGTGGTCACGTAAAAGGAAGTGAACTTCCTCTTTTTTGAAACTCAGATTTTATTCGATACGTTTTCAAGAAATATGTAACATCTTCAGGGAAAAATTATTAAGACTTTTTTAGCTGCATCTATTTCACATATATTTATGAATATTAATGACAATCACTTGATAGTTCACCCGTTGTTTGCCGGCTGTTGTGATGTGTTTACACTTGCTCATACATTGCCATGAGCATTCACGTATATGTAGATGAAATTCAATGGACTAGTAGGATCAGTTTTGCGGGAATATCTGGGAAAGTAAAAGAGACCGTCTATTATATGTATAAGGAAAAGTTGTTCAAAATGATGGGCTTGACAACATATTTCAAGGTCATTGAAATCGGCGCTGAGGACTATATTCTCAATAATTATTTTTTTTTCAGTTCTGGAACTTTCGAATAAATGTGTATTTACAATTATATTTATTGTGTCTTTGGAATCATGCTTGAATAAAGGACAAACTAAACGTACATATATGTGCCAGTATCCCTCAAGAGGTTAAAATCAATAAAGACAACATCGATACGTATCCAGTTTTTCGAAATGATTTGACAGATTCTTAGGTTATGTCTGAACAATTTTTCAGTTACATTCAACCATAGCATGTTTTCTAACAATGTGTATTCTATCATTATCAATTAATGTAAGCATATAACTGCATGCATTGTATAGTTCGATGTGTTTGATTATGAAAATCTCGAAACTTTTTTTTCTATACAGTGTACATGGATAGTTTGATTTTCCAACGCAAGGGATATGTAAACTTTAGTAATTCTATGTGTTACATAAGCTTTTAAGGAACTGGTTATATTTAATTGTTTCTTATCAGCTTCAAAATTTCTTTAACATTATTTTTTTATGTATGTACAGTTTCACAGAAAATGTAAATGTAGGTATTGCATGAACACAGTATGATGGTTAAAAAAGTGATACCTACGTCTGTTACGACTGAGAGAAATGAATGTAATGTGTCAGTGGCGTGGAATAGGGAGAACTAAAATTCTTCGATACTTGGGAAAAAGTGATATTACGAGAGTTGGTCGAAAAAACAACGAAGCAACGATGTGGTGGAAGCGCGGTTTCGCGGTAAGAATGTCGAAGAATAATGGGCGGGAACCGATACGTTCAACGCTTTTACCATGATAGGAAAGACGCGTGATTATGCTCGGCAAGCCATAACGCGGTTTTACAAAACATTATCCTAAATATCCCAGCGACGAGAGTCTCTCTCCCCTCGAGGAAAAGAGAAACTATTTGTTATGCAGGAAGAATGAAAAACACCGCGAATGTATCCCAAACGATCCTAGTAAACTGTCGAAATTTAGACGCGCGTTAATCTTAAGCTGCATCTTCAAGCTTCACGCTCGGGACGAATCGCGTTAAGGCTTTATCGCGCGAGACGGATATACACCGAAAGATTTATTTCTATGTAGCTACGTCTATTTCGGTTTAAAAAACCGCCAAATGAGTGACTCATCATTTGACAGATGAAAATGGCGCGCGATTCGAAATTCAACTTCTTGCTGAGACACCTTTTATATTCTTGTTGAGCTCGCAATTTGACAAAATATTTGTAAATTCAAATTCACCACGTAACTGTGTCAAGTTTACTGCGCGCAAAAAACGGACGCCATCCGGCGTCCGATACTGGAATTTTTCTTCGAGCAACTAACGAGTCTTTTTTTTTTCTTTGTTTGCAGTTCAGAGAGCGAAGAGCTTATTGACCAAAGGAAAACACAGTAAGTAGCGTCATTGGGTGGACCGTTACGATATTAATAACATTTACACGATGCAGCAAGTGTCCTTGGTCGTCGATGCAATTGTTTTTATTGCATCGAAGCGTGTCGAATTTCAAAACAAATGAAAATCGAATTCCTTTTTCTGACGTTTGCCCACATCGTGTCTGTCGCCCGTATACAAATCGAATTTCGCGGAGCACGCGAAAACCGCGCGCACGTAATAAACGCGTAATAAGTAGGACAACGGAGAGAAGAAGAGTATCAAGTTCGTACGTGTAATACATCATTGACTCGACTAACGAGTCGACTTCTTCGTACATTGTTCGGTATAAGCATACCAGTAGTAGGTGTGAATAATTCCTAAACAATTATTAATCCTTTGCGGTCGAATTTGTTTAAACATGATGCAAAATGTTAATTGTTAACAATGAAAATATATACTATAATGTTCGAACTGTATCTCAGAATTTTATCGACTTATGTACAAGATAGTTTTTAATTAAACAGCATTTGATTGAAAATTCGCTTGGGCCGAATCGACCCAGTATGACGACTGTATTCGAAAACATATGTGATAATCAAGGGGTTAACCAATTCCGCATCTTCGATGATATCTTCAGTGCCGCTAGGTTCGTCCAAAATGCAATCAAAATATTCTTCAGGTTCTGTGTTATCTTCAGCAGTAGTTTCTTTGGAATTGTTCCTCAAATCAATTTACTTCTTCCTTCAAGAACTTACACAGAATCCTTACTTGATCTTTCCACTTTCTTTCAATACATATACTTCGAAGTTGCGAGGACCCATTGAATATGAGCTAGGGTCAGTCGGTCAACGTCGATTCACAAAATTTACCAACACCATATTTTTCACAAAATTTGCCAACACAATTTTATTTTCCCCAAATTTACCAACACCATATTTTTCACAAATTCACCAATACTATATTTTTCACAAAATTTGTCAACACAATTTTTTTCCACAAACTGTAATTACGTCAGTTTTGAAGATACAGCAATAAAATTTAGAGGGCATACATCAAAAAAAGAACGATTAATTTAATTATGCCTGTTGTGTTAAGAGGGCCCAAATGCCCTGAGGCCGTTCTAGCATTCAACCAGTACAATTTATCTGGACAATAAGTACACAATGGATCACCGTTGGCGCCTCTCTCTCGCGAGATTTAATTCCCGTTACGCGCAGCCAGTTAATCGTGACCTTGCTGTTGATCGTCTCCATCACCCACCCGGTGTCTGAACTCACTTAAACTTAATAAACGCAGAGACCAACGACTGTTTCGTGACGATCGCCCTCGGTAAGGAGAAATACCAAACGTCCGTGAAGGAGAAGGCCGTCAGAGACGTAGAATGGCACGAGGAATGCGAATTAATTATCCCAGAGCAGGGAAACACCGCGGAAATCGTGCTGACGGCCCTTCATCGTAACTTCCTTGGCGTCGACGAGTTCCTCGGCACCGTCAGCATACCCCTATCCAGCTTCGACGTTTACGAGAGACCTCGAAATAGATGGTACGTAATCGAGCTCACCATTTTTATTTTAATTTTTCTTTTTTTTTTTTCGTGAAAGAAACGGTCTCTGTTTTTGTTTCATTACTCTTTAATGAAAGCAGAAAGTTCGTATCGGAATCATAGCGTGTGCACGTTGCACACATCCGCACGGTTAGGAAAGTATCGCGAGTGAAGGTATGTATACACAGTGGTATCCCGAGCAAGGTATTTTGGAAAGTTGTAACAATCGTTCGATGTCCCGTCACTTGCCGCAGCCTTTTTTTCCTACGTCGATCTGAAACGAATGGAGAGAAAAGAAAAATAATACGTTCGAAGGAAATTTAATTCAAAATGTTGTATACGATCGCTTTGGAGAATTCTTATTGCGTTGAAATTTGCTTTATTTGCATTTGAAAGATGGTTTTATCGGTACTTGAACAGCAGGGATTCAATGTATCAGGTACACCCTTGGAAGTAAACCAGGCAAGGAGAATACGAAGGAGAGGGGCGAGCTCGAAGTGAAGATCAGCTTCATCGTGAAGGCTGGCAGCTTGACCGATTTGAGCCACAAGGAACGTCACAAAAGTTCCCTCGGGCAGCTGTCCTCTGCCGCCCACTCGATCGGCGGAAGTTTACTCAGCATAGGCAGTTTGGAGAAGCGTAAAGGATTGAAGAAGTTGGCGAAATCGATCGGGAACCGCGTGAAAGGGAAAAGCAAGCACAATGTCAACAAGGAGGAATTGGACGAGAGGGAGGAGCATAAGTTTAGAAATACCACGAGACAACAGCCGGGCGAGGCTGATCCTGGTGTTATCAGCGAGGACGAGGATGAATTCACGGTACAGTTCCCATGTTTCTTTCCCGTTTCAATTCTCTGTAGCCCCGTAGGACTTTGAAGTGACGTACCGATATATCAATATCTTTTGGATTACTTTAATTTTCTGCCGCTATATGGCGTGCATATCGTGTTCTATAACCTGTTTTTAGTAACCGATAAGATGCTTCGTAGCGATTATTATCTTTGTAGCTTCAGATATCGGACTGATAATGAAATCTTGAAAAATTGTACACTCATTGCTAATTTGTATTTAGAGGTTGACATTTTGTTGATTTCACGTTAAATAATTTTATTTGTTGTCACGAAAAAAATTCGGGCTATAGAGGGTTAATCATACCACAGACGAGGTATAGGGGTAGACATTTCATCCAATGTATTTTTGCAGCCCACTTTTCTGGGGTTACGTTACCCCATTTCCATTTTAGTGTCACTACCCACCGTAAATTTACTGTTCTCATAATGCATACGGATGTTTGGCGGGAAGAATCAGAGCCAAATAATGTAATAGTGATGTTTTTCATTTCAGTTCGATGATCTGTCACATAAGAGCTCAGCGTCGTCTTTAAATGCGCCCGTTGTCGGCGGCAACAGCAACAGCGTGGGTTCAGTTGCTTCGAGCGTCTCTTCCGGTAATAATTCTAACGAGACCCATCATCCACCACCAGCGCCGGCTAACGCGGCGCCCAGTAAACCGCCACGATATTCCATGAGCGCTTCTACCACGTCTCTGTCGAAGGTCGGTAAAACAAAAGAGGACGAATGGGGTCTTAAGCTTTATGGGAAGCAAGTTCACAATAACGTTAAGAGGTAATAAAGTTAATTCTTAGAAGATAATTGAAGCTATGAATTTCAAAACAGCAGAAGTCCATCAACCAGCATCTTGAAAAAGACAGTTTTTTTGTTTATTGTCTGTAATTTTGTACTGATCTTGTTGATCCTCCTTGTGAGTATTGATTGCTTATACTTTCATTGTGTTTTTAATGATTATTAATCATATTTAACGTTACCAGAAAACCAGGTGTTTATGTAAACAGATTTGAAAGATTGTAGATTAACAGTGGATTTGTGCTGTTTTGGAATTCGTTGTTTCAATTCTGCTTTGAGATACGGGTTAAAAACAGTTGAAACGTTCCTTCAGATGGGAGAGTAAACCAAGCCCAAAGATCGTGATCGACGAACCAAAAGAATATCATCGAGAATCCTCGCCGATTGGTTCGCCGGCGTTGACTTCGAGATTCCAAGAGACCCCAGAACCGCTGGCACCGGCGCCGCGCGAGATCATACTGCAGACCAAGAACAAAGACGAGAAAACAGCTTCGAACAAAGATAAGAGCATCAAAGAGGAGAAGCTAAAGGAGAGAAAGGACGACAAATACATCTGCTGGAGTCCCAAGGACGATAAACAATCGAGGAAAGAGAAGAAAAAAGAGAAGGAGAATAAGCTGAAAGAACTGAACGACGAGACCAATAATCTGTCCTCAGAAAGAATTATTATCGGTGGCGAGGACGCGATTCGTACGGTGACAGGAAAGAGCCATCTGCCCCACGAAGTTCTCGCTCAGTTTGATGGAAAATCAAGAGAAGTAATTGCACATTTTTACCGGTGCTGGGTATGCCATGGTTATTTATAAATCGTTGCTGTGTATAAACATTAGTCATTCTGTTCCTTGTAGGATCTCATAGAATTGACTCTGCAACTCCAGGCGGAAGTATCAGAGAAGAAAAAACGTCTAACCGACTTGGAAGATTATATAGACGCGTTACTCCTGCGAGTAATTGAATGCTCGCCGCGTTTACTGCAAAACCCCTATCAATCTCAAAGACGTTTGTCAGCACCCGGACACCAGTACAACAATTAAATGCTCTTCCGTCCCGACGTTTCCTGATATCCACGAGGGGTTAATTACATTTGTCAGCGTAATAAGTAATAATTGCATGGCGCTCTTTCAATCTGTTCCGAACATTTTTATACACGTTTGACTGCCGCCGTGCAACTGACTGTTTTCGTAGTACCACGCGCTTTAATTTATTCTCGATTTAACAATTACAATTTAACTATTATGTAAGTTGCACGTAGGTCTCGTTGCTTTCATTTTTTAACTGTATAAACGTCTACTGAAATTTTTAATATTTTGTTATCGTTCGAACGAAGTATTTTATAATAAGGTTATATGTTTTAAAGGGCAAACAAAAGGTGCGACATTTGTGCCAACCGCTTTAAAACGTGGGAAAAAAATGCGAATACTCCCCTAGTCTTCCCGAGAGAAAGTGTTATTGTTCATCCTTAAAAAAAGAAAATGATATCTCCGTCCAAAGTAATGTCATTACAAAATTTTATGGGTAACACGATAGTCTGTATTTTTAAACGTATGCGTGAGTATCGATTCACGTACTGTACATCATATTTTCGCAAATACATATTTATGTACGAGGATAAACTATTAAACGGTTCCAGTTACGTATTCATTCATGCATTATACATCTATAATACACCTACATGCGTGTGTTCCATGAAAATACAACGTTTCTATTAATTCGACATGTGACATGATTTATTGAATTTTTAAGGTTGCTGCACTGTGATATGATATTCTTATCACTAAAATATGCATATAAACGAGCATTAATGGTGCAATTAAGTTTACGCATTTGGCCGATTAGATAAAAGTCGAGTGTATTCATGGCGAATGTTTTC